TGCCATTTTATTGCACTTTTGTGAAAGTTTGCCTTTGATAGAGTTAGGCAGCAAGGTTCAAGTAGGAATCAAAATGATGATTCTAACATCAAATTGTTGATTTTTCCGAGAACTTGCATTGGAACATTTAGATTGTATGTAAAGCACAGAAGCAGAAGAATAGTGGTACTTTTATCTTTACGCTGTCAAATATTTTATCTGGTTAAAACCATAAGAAAAAAAACAAAAGCTTCCTAACATTGTTAATCTTTCTGACCTACAAAATGAAAGTTCCTTATTGATATATCATCAGCCCTTTGATAGACTGGGTTATTTTTCTATCCTCTTGCAGCACAGTAAATTGATAACAGAATCATCAAACATTAATCTGAAAGGAAGGGCTTTTGAAAAAACATGTCTTTGTGTTTGTCAGGCAATAATTGAAATTCAGCAAACTTTCCATTGTTGGGGGTGTGACTAGCATTCTCTTATAAACCACCTCTGCAGGGGACCAGATTGGTGGGAAAATGTGATGGTAGTCTTCCATGCTCTGCCCATAAAATAAGCTTCACATACATGACATACTGTTCACAATAGAGTGTGCAGATGTTCAAATATAACTGTGGAGTGGAGTCTGATTACTCCCATGGGCTCTGCTGGGCTCGGCTTCCCCTCAATGAAGCTCTTGCGTCCTGCTGAGCTTCTTGATATTGGCTCCCCCTTGAGCAACGTCATGTACCACCAGGCTCTGCCGTGTTTCTTTAGCTTGGCTTCTTGATTTGGGAAGGGGGGGAAGTAGTGGTGTCTCTCAGTCCCACTTGCATGTGGTGTCAAACTGAGCTGTCACTCACAGTAGCTAGTATATATCTTAACAGTAATAAGATCGGATCCGATGAAGTGAGCTGTAGCTCACGAAAGCTTATGCTCAAATAAATTGGTTAGTCTCTAAGGTGCCACAAGTACTCCTTTTCTTTAGCCAGACTAACATGGCTGTTACTGTTGCCGGCACCCAGTGCCAAGAGGCTAAACAACAGCTGAAGTTGGTTCGTTACCTGGTGTGCTACACCCAATAATCACAACGGGGTGGAGAAGCAGAAAAGTTTATTTGAAGCTTCAAATAGATACCGGGAGATTTGAATCTCAAATCCTGTACACAGAGCAGGAAGTTACACAGGCTTTTATACATCCTTTTTCCCAGCATACTTATCCAATAGCAAGCTGCCCCAAGTATCCATATAGCCAGCCAATCCAGTTCCCAGCTAGTTCCCTGGTTCTCTGTATCATTTATTAAACTATACATAAAGCTGCTTTATTCAGCATTGTTCTTCCATATCTGCCCTGTGTGGCCTTGGTTAGTTTCAGGCAGTCTGACTCTGCAACATATTGTTGCAGATTCTCAGCATAACTGCTGTGTGTGCCTCCAGGCGGGGGGGCCAAGGACACTTGGGCCTAGTACGCAGAGCTGCTGCGAGTGCTTCCAGGCGGGAGGGGGGCCAAGGACACCTGGGCCTAGTGCGAGGGGGCTTCATTGACACTCGTGGTCTTCCATCCCCTCGAGTTACCTAGTGGCCATGCCCCAGTGTCCCCAACACTAACATGGCTGTTACTCTGAAACCTATCTTAACAATGAGATCTCCTTTCTTTTATGGTTTAGTGAGCAGTGAGTTAACCGCATTGACGTAAAGTATTATCATTGATATCTGTGTTAGTACCCATTGAGATGAATGGTACAGATCACATTTCTCGGAGCTATGGATTCAGGTTCTGCAAATGTAGGTAGATGTCACTGCATCATTTACACTTGGGTCATATTTTTGAAGTTACCTTAGCAACCATAACAGCTAGAGGCTTGTTTTTGTTTTTAAATGAAAGCTTAAAGCTTGTCTACGTGAACATTTAGTACACTAGCAGTCGCACACACTAAGGAACTGTTAATGCACAGCAGCAAGATCCACATGGACAGTTAGTGCATGGCAGGCTAGTCCAGGGTAGATTCACACCCAGGCTTGCCACGTACTAAATGTTCGCATAAAGAAGCTCTTGGATTATAGAGAACATAAACCAGCATGAAGGAGGTGCAGGTATGCCAGTCCACTGTTTGTGTGCTGAATCTAAGCTCTGCCCCTCTGTCTAAAACACAGATTTCACCAGCACAGAAACCACAAATGTGACTTTTTCATGTTCCTTTTCTATCAGAGGAGAGTTATTTTAGGAAAATTACAAAGGACAGTTTTGTTCTATTTTGGAATCATCAAAGTTAAGAGAGATTTCTAGAATTATGGCTATTAGCCCACAGCTAAGGGATAAGAAGAAATTTACAAATTGAAGACTATAGAAGACAGACTATTAAGGCTATTCTTCCAAGACAGTCTAAAGATGCTGCTGATTTTACTTCTGAAAAAAAAAGGAGCTGTGGTACAACCGTTCACGAATATAGCAGGCATAGACTATTGAGTACTGTAGATTCTGATAGCTTGAGGCTTGACTCATGAGCATTAAATAAGATAACTTGCAGTTGAAGGTGTCCTCTAGGGCAGTGGTCTCCAAAGTGGGGTGCGCGCACGACAATCGATTGGGGAGCACAGCAGGAGGAGCACCGCTGGAGGGGAAAAAAAGGGGGGGCGGCCCTGAGTCCTCCGGCCCATGGAGGAGCAGGGGCACCCGCGCAGCCAGCGGCCTGAAAGAAGCGGCACTTTCCCCTTCAAAGCCGGCTGGAGAGAAGCGGTGCTTTGAAGGGGAGAGCGCCACTTCTCTCCGGCCGCTGGCTGCACGGCTGCCCCTGCTCCTCCTGAGTCCTCCAGCCCGTGCTCGCAGGGCCGCATTCCGAAAGGGGCTTTAGAGCTGCAGGCCAGGGCTCCGGGGCCCCCTTAGCCCAGGGCCCTGAAGCCCCTAAAGCCCCTGCGTTCCGGGTGGCCCTGCCTGCCGGGAGGAGGGGGGGCAGCTCCCAGAATCATGGCCATGGGGGTGGTGCTGCGCTGTGCAGAGCCACCTGCACCCCGCGCCCCAACAGGAGCTGCCCCAGGTAAGTGCTCTGCACCTTCTGCCTGCCCTGGCCCTGAGCCTCCTCCTGCACCCCCACCCTGAGTGCCCTCCCGCACCCTAACTCCCTCCCAGACCTCGCACCCTACCGTGAGCGCCTGCTGTATCGCAAAGTGTTAAACCAAGATTTTCAAAAATCATAAAGCATATTCAATCACATTGCTCTCTCTAAAAATATTATTAATTTTTTTTAGTGAGAGCAGAAAGGTTTTTTGTACCGTTAATAAATAAAAAAATATTTTTAAAATATTGTTTATTTCATCTTTATCTCATTGTTTTTTAATTTCTATTTTTTATGTATGTTTTATAATTTACACAATATATTAGTACAGTAGTACATGTATATAATTTATACATAAATAAATATACATATATTGGGGGTGCGTGCTCAAAAAAATTTTACTGATGGGGTGCGCGATCAAAAAAGTTTGGAGACTGCTGCTCTAGGGTTTGAAATGTAGTATAATCTCTCTTCATAAGGTTATCCTTTTATGGTGTAGGTATTTATTTATCTGTATTATGGTAGCACCAAAAACAGAGTTGCACTCTGGTTCCCAACTTCACTGATGTCCATTATAACATCTCTTTATTACACTTCAACACAATGTGGACTTTTCTTGACATGCAAAAAGGGTGTACTTTTTCAGTTGTGTTAGCCCAGTCAAATTAGTGTAAACACAGTTGAAAAGCCCCATTGAGGTGTAGGCTGACATATTTGAAGTCATGTTAGCTAGGTATGTTTTAACTTAGTGAGAAGCCTAGGCTACAACATGGCCACCTAACACAACTTGAGACATGTTAACCTGCATTTTAACAGGGCTTCTCAGTTTTATTAAGCTAATTCAGCTGAGCTCATGTGCCTGAAATACATACCCTTTTGCCCATTAAGGTATTCTCCTAGTTGACTTGTAATGAATGAACAGAATGAAGAGGTTTCTCAGTGGATATTACATTTTGAGACCGAACACGGCTGCTACTCTGAAACCTGTCATTTGAAATGCTTTCTTTAAAATTTCACTGCTAAAGTCATTGAAAAAGTTGTGTAACTGCAGGGAATTATACAATCTTTTTATTTTGGACCTTCCTGCTTCAGTAGATAGCAGACTCCAGTGTGATGTTTGGAGTTTCATTTTTATTGGATTGTAAACTCCTCAAGGCAAAAAATACATTCTCCCGTACATCTGTCTGGCACCTATTTTGGGTGCTATTGTGATACTATAGGTAATGAAAAACTGGATAAGTTATAAACAAAAACATCCTTAAAGAAAACAGTATAATGGCTGCAGAGGCATTACTATACTGCAATATGACTATGTCCAAAATATGTTTCAGTACCAAAACATTTTGGATTTTGAGGCATAGACGTTTAGATGGAAGGGTAGTATAGAGGTATGGTCTTTACTTGAACTTGAATGCATGTCACTTATCTTTGTACCTAATTAATTCATTTAATTCATTTCTAGTCCTGTTGATTTAATCCTGGACACTTCTTTTCAGTAATGTTGCAGTAAAGTCTAAAGAATGGCATAGGGCGATCAAATGCCATGTAAGCATTTGTCACTAAACCTCCATGCAGCACTGCAGCACTATTATTATGGGACTGATTCCCTTAGCAGAAATTGCCAATACTGTGACAGTTTTGTGCATGGGCCATCAAACAGCTGTCATGTCACTTGCCAGCTAATGCTGGTTTGTAGCTATACTTTCCGAGTTGACCATGCACGAGTGATTGAGTATAGAACTTTGACCAGTTTGATAGTTAATTTCAATATAATTACTGATGTATATCAAGAAGAAATCTTATAGTTCTTTTTTCCCTACCTCTGTTTTGTGTATATACAATTAGTGGTTTGTTATGATTTTTGGTTGATTGGTGTGCTTCCATTTCTCTACATCCCTAAAATAACTCTTATTTACAAACAGTCTCCATAGGAAATAAATGTAATTTCAAGACATGTAACAGATTTTCTTGTTTCTTTTAGGCATTGATTTTAAAGTAAAAACAATAACATTTAATGATACAACAGTGAAACTTCAAATATGGTAAGTTATAATTTGTCCCACAGATGAAAGCCAACTAAATTATAGAACTGTACACTGTACAAAATCTTGTCCAGCTTTGGTGATTTGTCTTCCTACAGTGTAGTGATCATATTAAAACTTTCATTAGGGTGAGGAGGCCATGTTTAGAACTACTATAGTACATGTTTTTTAAAAAACAGTTATCTTAGAAACATTTAACATTAAGTTATTGTAGAATATGGATAAAATGTAAACCTATATTGCATATTTGGAAGCTTTCCATACTAAATATAAGCAACTTTATTAAAATGTTAAATTTAAAAGAAAAAGTCAGAAGATTTGGATTTAAATATTTCATTATCCTACAAACATGTATTCATAGGGCCAGGTTTAGAATTTTGAATGAAGACTAGCAAGGTGACTCTTTGGGCATCATAATCTTATTTTTACATTAAAGGGGGAGTTTTGGGATTGCGGCTGTGGTGGAGCCCAGTTATTTGTACTGAGTTCTGTATATATTTCCCTATTTTTGAGTTGCCAGCCACTAGATCTCCAATGGCTAAAGGGTTTGGATGCATTCTGGGGAGGTTTTTTTAGTCCTTGTCTACATTTAGGGTAAGATTCTTTACTGCTTATCTGAATTGCGAACACAGAACTCACAGCCCAATAGGAGGAGGGGCTATGGTGGCTTTTGAGCTACTTATGCATTCACTTGATCCTGGGCTGCCCTGTAATCTCTATCATAATCTAGACAGCTCTGGAGGCCTGTCTAAATTATAGCTGCCTCCCCAGGATGCTATATGGGCCATAGTGCTGCCTGGAATCTCTGCAGCACTGCATATCATGGCCCCAGCACCATCTTAAACCTCCCACCCCAGCCTACCCCCAACATTCTCCCTTCGCCACGTCTTACAAAGGGGTGCTCAGAAAACTACATTACATGTGTCTTCTAAAGTGCCTGTGCTGGGGAAATTGTCCCCCAGCCTGATCCAATCATTTTAGAGCAGCTTTACACCACTTTACCCAGCGCAAAGGGGCAAGGGCAGGAGAGAAAACCTCACCAATGGGGTTTTAGCTCTTGTTTTCGCTATCCTAATCTAACCACACTGATGCTGAAATGCTGCCCTTCTGCAGCTTACCCAAAGTACGCTTCTGTAGTTGAAGTCTTAGTTTATTTCAATGCAAACATTCTATACCAAGGGTTGTACAAATGCGGTTACATACGTTTAATTACACTGTGATTTAAAATTTTAATGTAGACAAAACCTATTTTTTGTCTTTCTTTCAATTATTTAAGTATAGGCTCTAGAATAGTCAGCAATATTAACATAAATGCTCAAAATAGTTTGCCAGCTGTTTCCCTGCAAAATGGCACGTATTCTACCACTTTTTCCCCTTCCTCTCTCAAAAAAACAGCTCAAAATTGGGGCTGTATTGTTTAAGTTGCACTGAAAAAACACATCCATACTCTTTCAATGTATGCAGTACCAAGTGATTCCTTTCTGGTGTATTTCAGGGATACTGCTGGTCAGGAACAATTCCATACAATTAGTACTAGTTATTTTCGTGGAGCACATGGCTTTGTTCTGGTTTATGACATCACAAACTCAGACAGTTTTCAAGGTATAACAAGCTGGATGAAAGATATACACGAGGTAAGAATACCTAACTACAGTTGATATTAAAGTAACTAACATCTTTATTTCCCGAGTTACTGAACTTAATATGTTTTAATAAATAAACGAAAATTGTTATTACATCTCCGGTTAAATACTTCTTGCCTGAGTTTATTCCATTCTGGCCTTGCTTGCAGTATACCATTGTTGTAATAGATTCATAGTACTTAGAGATGAAAAAACCAAGTAGGACATCCAGACCATCTGTTTATCAATGCCAAATTGTTTTCTCCAATTTTCTTCCCCTTCCCCCACAAACACTCCCTCCCCACCCTTCTTTTGTCAAGTCTGGTTTTAAATATTTCAAGTTATGGGGCTTCCATCACCAAAGGGAAGTCTCCAATATCTAATTAGCTTTGTATCAGGAAGATCACCCCATTGTTCCTAGTTAGTCCTAGTTACCTCATCCCAGGTATCAGACTAAACAGTTCCTCTCCATTTTTCTTGATTATGCCTTTTTTGGTGTATATTATGTTCCCTTTGGATGCTTATTCAAACTATTCATATTTATCTCGTTTAATCTTTCCTCATAAAGTTCTAGCTCCTTACATTAGATTGACAGTGAAAAACAAGAATATTCCATTTAAAATATTTTCTGGGAACGTGAACAGGGTGATTGTTGTTGCAAATCAGCCTAGAAACAGCCAATTAGTGAGTCTCATAATTGAAAAACAGGAATAATAAACACTTAATCCAACTCTAGTATGCTGTCAATTTATGGAGTGTCGGGTAAAATATATTGGGCCATTCATTGTAAAATATGTATTTTTAAGCAATAACTGTTAAAACACAGGGCATTTTTGTGAGAATTAATTACTGACTGGGAGAAGAGTTCCCTCCTGTGCCAGGGCAGTAGCCCAAACAAGTCATTAATCCCCAGTAAATGCTTAGTGCCAAGGAGGTTGTTGCTACCGTAAGTTAAAAATGTGCTGGAGTGTGCAGGCAAAACCAAAGTGCAGATTTCATTACATGTATAATGCAATTACTTTGTATTTATCAAATGAATTGTTAGAGAGCTCCTGTGTTGCATGTTAGCCAGTCAAATTGGAGTGTTGAGACAATTAAAACATCCACCTTACAATTTTATTTATTTTATTTTATTTATATTCACATAATACAGATTTTAAAAGCACCTATGTATTACTCTATGCCCTTTTTACAAATATTAAAAATCACAATCCATGTAAATTACCATATTCAGTAACTTGGCCTCAATCAAAACTAACCAATAAGTATATTAATATATCACATTATAAGTGATATTGTGTTTGTACTCCAATTATACTAACAGTGTACTAAGTATGTATCTTCTTTAGTACAGAATTTATTATTACTGTTCAAGTGAGTTCAAGACATACAAGAACTTTAATATTTAGACTATTCTAACATTCAGATCTAAAGGTAACTTAATACTCTACAGTACATGCAAAGCTGTAGAGAGAGATTCTCAAGGAAGACTACCAAAAATTTAATTTAGAAAGTCACTACATGTTCAATACAGATGGGGCTACATCAGAACTGTTGAGCAGTGGTTCTCAAACTAGGGCCGCTGCTTGTTCAGGAAAAGCCCCTGGTGGGCCAGGTCGGTTTGTTTACCTGCCGCGTCCGCAGGTGCGGCCGATCACGGCTTCCACTGGCCGCGGTTCACCTCTCCAGGCCAATGGGGGCTGCAGGAAGGGCGGCTAGCATATCCCTTGGCCTGCCCCGCTGCTTGCTGAGGTGGAGTAATTATATCAACGGGAGACTGCTCTCCCCTTGGCATAGCATGTCTTCACCAGACGCCCTATAGTGGTGCAGCTGCATCAGTGTGCTGATGTATCACTGTAGTGTTGACTTGCCCAGACTCTGTGCTGCAGGGAGGTGCCTATCTCTCTATGCAATCCACAACCAGGAACCCCCTTTTCTGGAGCCAGGTGGCTTAGGTGCTAACTCATTCTTGCAAGAATGAATTAGGCACCTGCCTAACTCCACACAAAGTGGCTGCTGAGAGGAAAAGAAGGACCCCTCTCATAGCATTTTTCCAAATGGTGAGGGTACTCACCTGGAATGTTTCAGAGTAACAGCCGTGTTAGTCTGTATTCGCAAAAAGAAAAGGAGTACTTGTAGCACCTTAGAGACTAACCAATTTATTTGAGCATGAGCTTTCGTGAGCTACAGCTCACTTCATCAGATGTATACCGTGGAAACTGCAGCAGACTTTATATACACACAGAGATCATGAAACAATACCTCCTCCCACCCCACTGTCCTGCTGGTAATAGCTTATCTAAAGTGATCATCAGGTGGGCCATTTCCAGCACAAATCCAGGTTTTCTGACCCTCCACCCCCCACACACAAATTCACTCTCCTGCTGGTGCTAGCCCATCCAAAGTGACAACTCTTTACATAATCAAGTCGGGCTATTTCCTGCATAAATCCAGGTTTTCTCACATCCCCCCCACCCCCATACACACACAAACTCACTCTCCTGCTGGTAATAGGTCATCTAAACTGACCACTCTCCAAGTTTAACTCCAAGTTAAACCAGAACATCTGGGGGGGGGGGGGTAGGAAAAAACAAGAGGAAACAGGCTACCTTGCATAATGACTTAGCCACTCCCAGTCTCTATTTAAGCCTAAATTAATAGTATCCAATTTGTAAATGAATTCCAATTCAGCAGTTTCTCGCTGGAGTCTGGATTTGAAGTTTTTTTGTTTTAAGATAGCGACCTTCATGTCTGTGATTGCGTGACCAGAGAGATTGAAGTGTTCTCCGACTGGTTTATGAATGTTATAATTCTTGACATCTGATTTGTGTCCATTTATTCTTTTACGTAGAGACTGTCCAGTTTGACCAATGTACATGGCAGAGGGGCATTGCTGGCACATGATGGCATATATCACATTGGTGGATGTGCAGGTGAACGAGCCTCTGATAGTGTGGCTGATGTTATTAGGCCCTGTGATGGTGTCCCCTGAATAGATATGTGGGCACAATTGGCAACGGGCTTTGTTGCAAGGATAAGTTCCTGGGTTAGTGGTTCTGTTGTGTGGTATGTGGTTGTTGGTGAGTATTTGCTTCAGGTTGCGGGGCTGTCTGTAGGCAAGGACTGGCCTGTCTCCCAAGACTTGTGAGAGTGTTGGGTCATCCTTTAGGATAGGTTGTAGATCCTTAATAATGCGTTGGAGGGGTTTTAGTTGGGGGCTGAAGGTGACCGCTAGTGGCGTTCTGTTATTTTCTTTGTTAGGCCTGTCCTGTAGTAGGTAACTTCTGGGAACTCTTCTGGCTCTATCAATCTGTTTCTTTACTTCTGCAGGTGGGTATTGTAGTTGTAAGAAAGCTTGACAGAGATCTTGTAGGTGTTTGTCTCTGTCTGAGGGGTTGGAGCAAATGCGGTTGTATCGCAGAGCTTGGCTGTAGACGATGGATCGTGTGGTGTGGTCAGGGTGAAAGCTGGAGGCATGCAGGTAGGAATAGCGGTCAGTAGGTTTCCGATATAGGGTATAGGGTGGTGTTTATGTGGCCATTGTTTATTAGCACTGTAGTGTCCAGGAAGTGGATCTCTTGTGTGGACTGGACCAGGCTGAGGTTGGTGGTGGGATGGAAATTGTTGAAATCATGGTGGAATTCCTCAAGGGCTTCTTTTCCATGGGTCCAGATGATGAAGATGTCATCAATATAGCGCAAGTAGAGTAGGGGCTTTAGGGGACGAGAGCTGAGGAAGCGTGACATTTGCAGCGATTATTCCATCACTATAACAAGGGGATTGGTTCTCAGCCCTCGACCTTCAAGATGCATAATTCCACATCGCTATCCACCCATCCCACAAACAATTCCTCCGTTTTATGGTTGGCCAGGACCATTTTCAATACCAGGTGCTCCTCTTTGGCCTGTCATCTGCCCTAATGGTCTTTTTGAAGGTCACATCAGTAATAGCTGCACAGCTCTGCAGGAAAGGTATCTTAGTATTCCCCTACCTGGATGACTGGTTGCTGAAAGGCCACTCCTTGGAACTGATGTCTCGGGAAACTTCTGAGGCCATAGACCTCTTTTTCGAATTGGCCCTGCAACTGAACGTACAAAAATCCACCTTGATCCCTCTGCAAAACTTAGAATTCATAAGGACACATTTTGATTCAGTAACAGCAAGCACCTAACTTCCTCTACACAGGTTTGTGGCTCTTTCCAATATAGCAAACACAATTCAGCTCATCCCCCAAATCACAGTCAAGAACTGTGTTCAATTACTGGGACACATGACAGCCACCACCTTCATTACAGAATATGCCAGACTTCAAATGTGCTACCTTAAAGGGTGGCTCAGAATTGTCTGTTCACCAACCAGCCACAATTTAAATATGCTTCTTTCCATACCTACCTCTGTAAAACAATCCCTCAACTGGTGGAAAGACTATCACAATGTGTGCACAAGAGTCTTATTTCCCCCAACAGTCATCATAATGACGGACACCTCTCTGCTAGGCTGGGGAGCGCATCTAGACACTTACATGATCCAGGGCAAGTGAACAACAACCTCCTGGATGCTAGACATCAAGCTCTTGGAACTCAGAGTGGTCAGATACGGCTGTCTCTAATTTCTACCGCTAATCAGGGGCAAATACACAAAGCTTATGACAGACAATATGTCATTCATGTTTTACATCAATTACCAAGGAGGGACAGGATCCCCCTCCCTTTGCACCAAGGCTGTCAGGTTTTGGAATTGGTGCACATGCAACCAGATCGCCAACACAGCAGTCTATGTCCCGGGGGTTCAGAGCATCCTGCAGATGCACTCAGCCGACACTTCTCCAAAGACCACAGTTGGGAAGTAGACCTCCACATGTTTAGTCAATGAGGCTCCCCTCAGGTAGACTTGTTCATCACAGAGTCAAACAAGAAATGCAACCACTCCTGCTTGAGGGGTGGATTGAATCACCAGTCCCTAGCCAAAGTTATGCTCAAAATAAAGGAAGACAGAGCCGGAGTCATCCTAATAGTTCTGGCCCTGGCCCAAACAAACATGGTTTCATTACCTGTTACAGCTGGCTGTTTGCTGTCCAATAACTTTTCATGCAGTTCTCCATCTTCTCTTCCAGGAGGGTGGGAAGATTTTTCATCCCAAACTCATGGTGCTTCATCTCAAAGTATGGTTGGTTGATGGCTCTCACGATTAGAGACAACCTGCTCAAGAGATGTAAAAGGAGAACTATTACACAACAAGAAACAGTCTGTTTGGTACGTGTAGTCTCAAAAATGGACACAGTTTGCCAGCTGGCGTGACTGCCGACAGATTCCACCAATTACCATATCACTTCTGGATATACTGGAATACACCCTAACTCTGAAAACCTTGGGTCTATCAGTGAGCTTCCTAAGGGTCCACCTGGCAGCTGTCATGGCTTTCCAGGTTATTCCGTCTTTGCCCACCTGACCACAACGAGATTTCTCAGAGGGCTCTATCCACCGGTCCAGCCTACTTCAGTATGGGACCTCAACCTGGTCCTTAAATGCCTCACAAGATAGCCAGAGGTTTGAAGGGCGATCTGCTTACTGCTATATTTGTTAATGAAGATGGCATTCCTGTTAGCCATCACGTCAGCACTACGGGTTGGAGAAATAGTGGCCCTGGTGGCATACTCCCCCTTCACGGGTGTACTTTAAAGACAAAGTCATACTGTGGCCCCACCCCAAATTCTTAGCTAAGGTTTTTTCTGAGTTCCATCTCAGTCAGCCCATTCACCTGCCTATCTTCCACCCCAAAGCACATCCATAGTGCCAGGAGGCACTGCTGCACACCCAGGATGTCCTGGCCTTCTATCTAGTAGACAGAACAAAGCCCTTCAGAAAGATCCACAAGTTATTTGTCTCGCTAGCAGAGGAGTCAAAAGGGTCATCAGTTTCTAGCCATAGGCTTTCTAAGTGGTTATCAGGCTGCATTAACTCTTGTCACCAGTCTTGCAATATTCAGCCACTTTCGGATATAGGCACTGATTCTACAACATCCATTGCGTCTTTTACGACCTTCCTCAAGAACATTCTGATTATCGAAATCTATAAAGCCGCTACTTGGGCATCTGTACGTTCCTTCACCGAACACTATGTGATAATTCATGACTCTACCTCTAATACTGTCTTTGGCTCAGCTGTACTTTCCTCTGTACAGGACTCGACTCCGAAGCCCCTCTGCCTTAAAGGGTACTGCTTGGTAGTCACCTAGAGTGGGACACCCATAGGGACACTACTTGACAAAGAAACGGTTACTCACCCTGCGCAGTAACTGTGGTTCTTCAAGATGTGTGTCACTATGGATGCTTCATTATCTGAGCTCCTTCCCCTCTGCTTTGGAGTTCTTTGCCATAGAGCTTCGTGGTAGAGAAGGAACTGAGGGCGGTTCGCCCACGCTGTGTTGTATAACAATGGCATAAGGCAGGAAACTGACTAACACACATGCACGGGCCAAACAGACACTGCTGTAAGAAATCTCCATTCAAAGTCACAGGAGTGCTCTAGCTCACCTAGAGTGGAGCACTTGTGGGACACACATCTTGAAGTACCACAGTTATTGCACAGGGTGAGTAACCATTTCTTTCGATTGATCCAAACTGAATTTTTTGTTTGTTTGTTGGTTCATTAACATTTTCATGGTCCTGATTTGGGATGGGAAACGTTTTCAAAATTTCAAAAAAAAAAAAAATTCAGACTGCAAAAAACACTTCTTGCTCAGCCCTACTTGTGGCTGCAGTAGCTTCATCAATGGCCGCTTTGGCAGTAGCACATTCACAGCTGCTAATTAGTTAGGGGTCCATTCTCCCCCCCTCCATCTCTCAAAAGTTAGGTACTTCTGGCTATGGGTTTTTCAGTCCAAAGGGGTATTCCTGGGTAACTGTCGGAAAGGCCATGAATATCCTGAATTTTAGGAAAAATCAGAGGGCCATATTCTGTGCAGGTATAAATCAGCATAGCACCACTGATGCTGATTTTCACTAGCTAAGGATCTGGCTACAGAGTCAGATTTCAGCCTTAGCAATTCGTAGTAATTTTCATTTCCAAAACTATCATCTACATAACCAACTTAAAAAAAAATGAAGGTAGAAATTCAGCTTAACATTTATTATGTATTTCCCTATCAGCTTTTTCAGACTTCAAAAAAGAGCTATGATATTTGCAAAGCGCTTTGAGATCCTTGGTAGAAAGATGCTATAAAAATGTAAACTTATTATTAAATTAGCATGGAAATAATAGATTTCTGAAAGAGCCATTGTCTTAAGCCTTTTTAGGTAGAAAGAACATTTCTATGGCAAGACTAGTTATACTTTTTGTACGTACAGAAATTAATTCATTTCAATCATGAATACCATATTTTTACACAAAAAGTATTAACATCTCCTTTTGACCTTTTACTTCAAAGTAAAGTCAAATGTCATTAAAAATTTTTAGATACATAAAGTCTCTCAAATAAAATAAATTGATTATGTGATGTGTTTAAATTGTCTATTTACTATATCCTATTTTAGGGACTGATGTGTGTAATTTTATGTAGGAGAACCATTGACCTTAATGAGTAAAGCTCCAGTGCATTCTGAAACATCCAGCATTTTGGTCTATTAATCCAGATTAGCTTGATTCATTATTTTAGATCTGTACTTTGTACTCTTATGATGATCTTACTTCATTTTAATACAACATTATCTTGAACATCATCTGCAGTTATGAAATGAGATTAGCTGACTCTAAAATGAGAGTGGATTAAAAAAATGAAATGATGTACCCTAACAATAAATAATGGTGCCTCATACCATACTTTTCAAATGAGGCAACTTAGTTGTAAAAAGTGCAAGTAGACTAAAAATAATGATTCTATGATCTTTTAATGAATAAAGATTCTTTTTTGCATTTCTCTGAAGGTGTGTGTGTTTTGGAGGAAAGGGTTGGCTGTATATGCCTTTTAGGACTTGTACACACTAGCTCTCACTTCGATATAACTTAAGTCACACCGAGGTGTGGAAAAGCCACCCCTCTGAGCAATGTAAGTTACACCGCCCTAAGCAGCGTTGTGGACAGTGCCATGTCGGTGGGAGAGCTCAGGGAGGTGGCGTAATTATGCCGATGGGAGAGCTCTCCCCCATCAGCATAGAGCTACAGCAGTGCAGCTACATTGGTACAGCTGTGCTGCTGTAGCGATTGTAGTGTAGACTAGCCCTTACAGTTTGTCGAAGATCTCAGGAGGGATGGGTCTACAATAGACTGAAGTGTTTCTGTTTATCTATATACGCTAATCGTATTGGCTGTAGCAAAGCAAACTTTCCTAACTTTGACCTACTTGGGCCTCTAGAGATGGAAGGGCAACTCATTCTCCATGTCCGTTCATTCCCTGGCCTCTTTTGATACTGACAAGCATTTTACACAGTTGCAGTTGTGATGGTGGTGTTTTGTAATGTGGATGCCAGTGCACTAGGAGCTGGACTGAAGCCATCAATTCTCTTCATTCAGGTCACAAAAAGCGGTTTTAAATGTCTGGAAATATTACTTATTTCAGAACACGTGACAGTTGGCAAGTTTCAGTTCTGTTGCTGAACTTCTCGCTTCCCTTTTCACCGTTTCAGACATGCACAGTTATGATGGCCTGGCCTAAAATAATGATAATATAAGGTGTCAAAGTATGTAACTTTGCTGGATTATCAGGAAAACTGACTGTAGACAAAGGATAGTAGGCTTGATCTTGATGAGGTTTTGCTATTTACCTCAGTAAGAGTAGGATGAGGCTATAGTTGCTTTTCTTAGAAGGTTTTGGAATAATCTAACTTTTATCATGGTGCGGTTGGACATTTTGGGTGCAGTGCTACCATCTGACATATAAGAATGAAAGGGAGAGAGGGTACCAGGTGTCTCTTGTGTCACCCCCTGTGTTCAGGCAATATGACAGCTCTTTCCATAGTGCTCATGAGTGCTAGAAGGTAGACCTAATTAATATGCCAGCCCATGCATCACATTGCTCTAGGGGTGCTTGGTCTGGGAGTTGGGGGCATTTCCTGCCTCCCCAAATCATCAGCATCAAGCATTCATCAATAGATGGAGGCTATATACCTTGTATCTTTTCAAAGGATCAGCAAATTATACTCTACTCCATCACATGCTCACATTCTGCCACTGTGCATTACTCTTCATTATGATGTCCTGTCCTAGTCAGCGGGATCCCTTTAGCTCTCTAGGTAGTATCTCTACTTATCCTTGAAAAGGCCAGAGCAAAGATTAGTCCTTTATTTCAAAGAAATAAAATGCTGATGGTTAGAATAAAAAAAGGGGTGTGCATTTTGTTTTTTAAACTTCATGATACATGTTAATATTGTTTCTCTTCTTTTGTCATTAGAAAGCAGATGACGAGGTGGATATAGTGCTATTGGGTAACAAGTGTGATAAGGAGACAGAACGTGTAATTCCAAAGCATAACGGGGAAAAGGTAGGCATTGATCACTGGTATTTTCTCCTAGCCCTGCAGAGTATTTTGGCATTTGAATGTGAACTCTGACCTTAAAAACTAAAATGTTCCTGAGTTCCAAATATTTTGTTATAAATTGCTACAAAAGAATACTTGTTTAATATAAGAGCAGAATATGGTAAATAACTTTACTAGTTGCTGTCTTTAGAACACTAATTATTATAAAAGTTTAACTTTAAAACATTTTTATTGCATACTTTCTAGCATAACACCTGAAAACTCTTTTATTTCAGAGTTAGACTAAAAATATTTTGGAGTCTGCATTTTCAGGTTATTGTTTTTAAGTGGGATGTTAAAATACAATACTTATTTTATTTCTCAACATTTTTCTAAAACATGCTATACCCGTAATCTTCCACAACAGTATCTATGACTCTTACATTGCTGACTTCCAGGCATGATTTTCATTGCCTTGTTCGCAAGACCACCAGCAACAGAAAGTCTGGAGTTGTGTTACTCTGTTGTACCCCTTTGAGTCTATGGAATTCTTATAAAAATATCACTTCCTTAGCAATATCGCTTGGTATCAATCAGTGAGAGGAAAAACAGGCCCAGCGACTGCCAATTTGGGTAAACAGAGGTCTTCCGGGGTACATGAACTCATCCACATATGCCTAGTTTTACAACAGGCTACGTAAAAAGCACTAGCAAAGTCAGTAGAAAACTAAAATTTCATACAGACAATGACTTGTTTATACTGTTCTATATACTATACACTGAAATGTAAGTACAGTATTTGTATTCCAATTGATTTATTTTATAATTGTATGGTAAAAATGAGAAAGTAAGCAAACTTTTTCAGTAACAGTGTGCTTGTGACACTTACTGTATTTTTCTGTTTGATTTTTGTAAGCAAGTAGATTTTAAGTGAGATGAAACTTAGGAGTCTGATTTATCTTGTATAGCCCCGAAAAGGGATAGAATAGTCTGAACAGGCTGAGAGCCACTGCTATAGGTAGAGCCCTACCAAATTCGGAGCCATGAAAAACGTGTCACGGACCATGAAATCTGGTCTGCCACCATGAAATCTGGTCTTTTGTGTGCTTTTACGCTATACTATACAGATTTCATGGGGGAGACCAGCGTTCCTCAAATTGGGGGTCTTGACCTAAAAGGCAGTTGCAGGGGGGTTGCAAGATTATTTTAGAGGGGCCACGGCATTGCCACCCTTACTTCTGCACTGCCTTCAGAGCTGGTTGGCTGAAGAGTGGCAGTTGGTGGCTGGGCACCCAGCTCTAAAGGCGGCGCCCTGCCAGCAGCAGCGCAGAAGTAAGGATGGCAATACCTTACCATGCCACCCTTACTTCTGCGCTGCTGCCTTCAGAGCTGGGCAGCCAGAGAGTGGCGGCTGCTGACTGAGGGCCCAGCTCTGCAGGCAGCAGCGTAGAAGGAAGGGTGGCAATACTATACCATCTCATTCTTTCTTCTGCACTGCTGCTGGCAGTGGCTCTGCCTTCAGAGCTTGGCTCCTGGACAGCAGACTCTGCTCTCAAGTTGCCCAGCCCTGAAGGCAGCACCACCACCAGCAGAAGTAAGGGTAGCAGTACTGCAGCCCCCCCTCCCCCCGAAACACACACAATAACCTTGCAAACCCCCCCTCCCCCAAACTCGTTTTTGGGTCAGGACCCCTATAATTACAACACTGTGAAATTTCAGATTTAAATAGCTGAAATCATGAAATTTACAATTTTAAAAATCCTATGACCATGACATTGACCAAAATGGACCATAAATTTGGTAGGGCCCTAGCTGTAGGCCAAGGAATCTCTCTGGCACCCCCTGCTGCTGTTTACATATATCACAGGCAGCCACTTAATATGCTGCTCTCTCTCATTGAGTATACAGCGCTGCCTACATAAGCAATCAAGTTTGTGGCCCACTATTTTGAGAGAGCAAGATTCAGGGTCTTTTCCATTGAGGACTCATGCTGTTGCATCTCTCTTCCTCCATCTGTTCACCGTTGCTTATCTTTGGCATCCTTCACAGTGGGACTGAATTCTCTTTTTATTGTTGTGGTTTTATCTTATATTTTGGGTTCTATTGTTCTTTGCACTTTTGGAAGTTGGACTGAGGAAGGTTCTAATTTATAAATAAATAGCACTCCAGCTATAATTAGCAATATGTTTATTCTGTGGCCATGGAATTTGCTGCATGTTGAATTTTGCTTCCAAATCTAGGTTTTCTGCAGTTTTTAGAGTTATTTCTAGTCCTCATCTTGTGAAAACGTGAATGGAAATGTTGTCTTCCTGACTGTGCAGACAACCTGCAGCAATAACCCTAAGAGATGTACTAGCTGTTCCATTCATATCCATCAATTTTAACAATTAATTATAAAGAAGCTGTGCCAGATCCTCAGGTAGTGTAACATGACAAAGCTCCACTGAAGTCCATGGACCTGCGCATATTTATGTTAGCTGAGGATATGGCCAGAGAGATTTGAATTTCAGCATTGTTAACCCTTTTGCTGCTGAACATTTTCTCAGACACATCCAAGTAAAGTACTTATCCCACATTACCAGATCACCTTCCATGCCTTCTTAGGTAGAGCTGATGCACAAAAATGTGGCCTTTTGACCAAAATGAGAATTTTCATAGAAAATTTTTGTTTTGTTGAATTTCTGAGGCTTTTTTTTTAATGAAAAAAACCAGAACATTTTGGGTTTTCAAAAAATGAGAATGGGGGGCATTTTATTTTTCTCCTTTTTTTTTTTCTTCCATTTTTTACTTTCATCTTACTTTTCTAGGGGGGAGAAAAACCAACAATGTTTTCTTTCATCAAAAAACTGAACAGATTCTGAGAAAAATTTTAACCATGAACATTTTGAGGGTTTTTAAAAAAATTGTCATGAAATATAAATAGCATTTTTTTAACCAGTTTTGTTCTTAGATGCCCAAAGCCCCAGTTGCCAATACCTGCAGCATCTCCCTAACCGTTTCTGAAGTGTGCCAACATACAAATCTGGAAGCACATGGAAAACTGAAAATGTCAGAACTGTGTACAATTTATTTAATATCAAAATTAATAATACAGGACTACTGTACTGTTTGCTTTATTTGCTTTCACATTTAGATAAACAAAACATGTATTTTTTAATTTAAATGGAGCTGCCTCAAAATTTCCATATTGATGTATTAGTGTGCCTCAGAAACCAAGATGCTTCAAAGTACACAAGTCCTTGGGTGTAGTTAAGATTGCATAATCATTTATCTTATACCCTCTGGGTGCAACTTGCTAGAAAGGGAGTGAGAATAGTGGAGCTGAGTGGGGGGTGGGGGGTGGGGAGGGCATATAGGGAGAAGTATGCTGTACCTTTTAAAGAGCCATAGCAAATTACTCTTCTCCCATAACTGGGAGATCAGGGAGGCACGTCCTGACATTGTGGCTATAACTCTCAGCATACACTGGCTTTTGCTGTTGAAAATTGTATGCATGCATAGGGTTTGTAATCAGCCTTTATCTCATTCATAAGGTGGACACTCTATCAGGCAGGTTGGGCACCTTATATGAGACAAGGTGTTTTGTTCGCATTTAACCAATTTTTTCAGATGATGAAATTCTAAAGTAATAATAATAAATAATAATGTCTCCCTGTGAACAGTATTGCAAGCTATATCTTTTAAAGTGCACAGTTCCCTCATTAATTATACACCTTGAATTTGAAGATTTTCATGGACTTTGTCTAGCCTCTACCGAGTAGTACAAGATGTTCTGTGTGTGTATTCACATATCATTTTTAAACAAAATGATCATGTAACTGGAGTCTATTATAATGCATATGCACAAGGGGGCAGTGTTAAGGTTTCACAGACTGTTAAATATGGTATTTTCTGACTTCTGAATGCTTAACCATGCAACAATATATTTCTTTCAACAAATTTTTTTTTTTAAACAAATCATTACCTCTTCACCAGCCAGTCTACTCCCTAGATTTCTCCTGTGTTTTGAAGCACTCTTTGGTTATACTAAGTGTTTCTTTTTCTAATGTGATTTCAGAGCTCTAGAGAATCCTGAGTTCCATAAGCAAGGAAATAGCTAACACTGTCCACTCACTCCAATTTAAAAAAGTGTATATTAACAAAAAGAAAATCTTAGAATACCAACTCTGCCAATGAGTGATTCAGATTAATCTATTTCATACTACACTCAGAACTGCAAGCCACAAGAATTATTCCTTTGCAGAATCCCACAGGGAGGATCTATGGATCCTGCAAGATTCTCCTGTATGTTGGCTCTTCCGGAAGGTACCTCAAAATTCTGGACACATTATCCCATTTTATAGTAGAACAACACAATTTCATTCAGATAATTTCTTATAAAACCATGTGGTTTTGTAATTCTCTCACTTCTACTGCTCTAAAGATGACATTATGTCATACAACTTAATCTTGACAGTATCATAGAATATCAGGATTGGAAGGGACCTCAGGAGGTCATCTAGTCCAACCCGCTGCTCAAAGCAGGACCAATCCCCAATTTTTGCCCCAGATCCCTAAATGGCTCCCTCAAGGATTGAACTCACAACCCTGGGTTTAGCAGACCAATGCTCAAACCACTAAGTAGTTTATATTATAAGTAAGTTTATTTTTTTGTGGTCATTCATTTTGACAGAAATTTTACCTTTTTAAAAAGCAAAACTAGTAACATTATCTCTCTTTCTCAAGAGTAAATAAAATCTTTCCCATAAATCAGTGGTTCCCAACCAGGGGAATGTAGAGGTTCCCAGGAGGAACATCAGCTCATCTACAGATTTGCCTAGATTTACAACAGGCTCTAGAGCCCTGCAGGGGGGTGGCGATCCTGCAGAGCCCACTGCCATAATAACAGGAGCAGAATAAAAATTTAACAAACCATGTGGGAGCGAATGCGAGTGGGTATTGCGGGACGGGAGCAGAATTTAAAAAATAGTCCTTCTGCTCCATAAACAATATGAACTCCCCAGCCAGCAGCCGCCACTCATCAACTGAAGACGACAGCGCCACCAGCAGCCGCAGCGCAGAATATGGGTGGAAATACTATATGATGCCACCCTCACTTCTGCACGGGTGCTGGTGGCGGTGCTGACTTCAGAACTGGGTGCCTGGCCAGCAGCCACTGAATGACAAGATTCACAAGTGAAAAACAGGCTCAAGTATCACGCTGAAATGTAAGTACAATATTTACATTCCAATTGATTTATTTTATAATTATATGGTAAAAATGAGAAAGTAAGCAATTTTTCAGAAATAGTGTGCTTTGACACGTCTGTATTTTTATGTCTGATTTTGTAAGCAAGTCATTTTTAAGTGAGATGAAACTTGGGATACGCAAGACAGATCAGATTCTTGAAAGGTGTACAGTAGTCTGGAAAGGTTGAGAACCACTGCTCTAAATTGTTGGTTTTTTATTGTCTTCAATATCTTTATAATACATTGACCACAACTTTTTACACCAGTCCAAGCACAAAACACAGCAATTTTGCCTAATGCCAGAAAACTGTATCTTCTGGCATTTTCAAGCCTGACTTTTGAATTTTGGGGAAGGGTGAGCAGATTAGCATTTTTGCTTCCTGCACCCCAAAACATAATTTATTTTGTTTGTTTATTTTTAAAAAGAAATGGAATCTGAGTTGTAACTAGAATTGGTTGAAAAGCATACATAATTGCTTTTGACAGTTGACATTTTTTTTTTTCCAACGGAGATGCTTCCAAATGAGCTTGAGATCTGGGAGCCACTAAAGGTATGTCTACACTGCAATTAGACACCTGTAGCTTTCCAGTGCCAGCTGATTTGGACTAAGGGGCTTGGGCTTAGCGGCTGGTTAATTGTGGTGTAGACGTTCGGGCTCAGGCTGCAGCCCACACTCTGGGACCCAGCCCACACTCTGGGACCCTCCCACTTTGCAGGATCCTAGAGCCCAGTGTCCAGTTTGAGCCCGAACGTCTACACCACAGTAAAACAGCCCCTTAGCCTGAGCCCCAAGAGCCCAAGTCAGCTGGCACGGGTCAGCCACAGGTTTTTAATTGCAGCGTAGGTATACTCTGAGCCTCACAGGATTTTGTGTACGCTGTAAACTTCATTGTTTTCTGTGAGTGGGATCCTGTCCCTAAGTTCCATGCATAGAAGGGAAGTCTGCACATGGACCCCCCTTTACTGCCTGGAAGGGAGAGGGGATAGACTCTTCCACTGCACTGTCCTTGCAGAGATTCCACTTCAGTCCCCCATTGGCTCCCTACAGTGGAAGGAAATGATCCAGCCCTTTGTCATCTTCTCCAAATTTCCAATTGTATAAACCAGCAAGTCTGGGTCCTCAAAATAGCTGTGAATTCTGTCTTTTCCCCACACTAACAGTGATGGAGGACATGTGTGCGGGAAACCCACTGGAACGAAGGAGCATAAATAAATTCAGTAACCTAAAAACTGCGCTACCTTTTCCTTCTTCATTTTTTTAACCCTTTTTTTTTCTTTTCTCACATCTCCAACTCATTCCATCTATCTCCATACCCCTTTTTCCACATAAATGTTTGCTATGTAGTCTCATATTATCTGTTCCTTTTCTCTCCATGGAAAGGAGCATCTCCTTTCCTCTTACTTTCTTATTTCATTCCTACTTGTCCCATTCTCTATTACTCACTGCCACAAGGTAACTGGCCCCTTGAAGAGGAGTGGGGCCAGCCCCACCCGAGGCATAATTAATTAGCTACTTCCCAGCCTGAGAGGGTGGAACCTGGGGGTTAGGTAATAGTTTAACAGACACCCAGGCTTCATAAGAAGACTGAGAGAGATGTTTGGGGTGTGGAGCCATGGGGAGTGTGGAAGTCCCTGAGCCAGGGTCTGCAGGAGGCTGAGTATTCCAGGGGAACAAAGTGGTCTGTACGAGAGCAAGGAAGGATGAAAGAAATAGTCCAGCATGGGCTAAGCATATTACTCCAGGGGAGCTAGCCTGGGGACTGTGTGCTCCATACCAGAGCCAGAAAGCCCAGGGGCTGGGAACAGGGCCCATAGGAAGGGCTGAGGAGAAGCCCCTGAAGGACAGAAGGACATTTTTGTTTGTTGGGACTTTTTAGTTTTACTTTCCTAGAAGGGTTTAAGGGTGATTGTGACTTGACTGGAGGGCTGAGCCACATCTCAGGATTTACTAGTGTGCAGACAGCTGAGGAGACTCATTTCAGGGTTCGGAAACTGAGGCTGGAAGTACCTGTAGCACCATGCTTGGCCAGCAGGGGCTGCTACACTGTGACACTCGCCATCTTTCTCTCTCCAATGTTAAAATGTCTCTCTGTCCCTTTACTCCCCTTCTTGTATCTTTTTATATTCTGTTGTCCCACCATGGTTCTTCACATCTTTGTCTCATCCCTCTGAAACTCTTCCCCATAATGGTTCCTTTCTCCCTCTCCCCTTCATTGTTTCATCCTTTTCCTACCTCCAAGTGGGGTTTTTGCTTCTAGTTTGACGACCTAGAACCCTTTCCTCTTTATTACATTTTATTTCTTCTCTCCCTAAAGGACTTCCTGCTGTTGAGGTGGAAGGAACTCAGATTCTCTCTTTTTCTGCCCTCCATGGACCAACTGTCTGCAGCTCTTCTTCTATGCGCTACACCTCCCTTTGGGGAGAGGCTGCCCTGGCAACTTGAAGTAGGCACTGGCTTTGCTGCAGGTGATGGGAATGGATGGAAGCCTGCAGGGACCTTAGCACTTGTATCTTAAAACTTAGGAGCATGGTTATAGAAGAGGACTGTAAATAGTTGATGATTTTAAAGAAAAACTATAGTTCTGTAACTGGTTTATATGTTGAAGGGTTGCTCCCTGATGGAAAATGCTAATAACTTGTTTTTAAAAAAGAAAGCTACAGTCACTTGAAAAACTCCAGCTCCCTAAGCCAAGTGGGAGTGTTGGACTCCCAGACCCACAAAATTAATATTATATTTTTATCACATCACAGTTATCAAATTGGTTCCAGCATGCTAACACCCTTATGCCCACATGAGTGGAAATTGAATAGATATTAATGCATCTAGCTCCTCCTGCTGGTTTGCTTGGTTCCTCTTTTTTTCCAGTGGAGAAAAATAAGGTGCCTACAGCGGTGGCTGTTTGAAGGATCTGTGATATCCTAATGAAGAGGTACCAATTTCAGCCTCACCATCATGCAAAAACACCTATCTGGGGTAACAGAGACTTGCAAATTGGATAAAAAATGTGTAATTTGGAAAAACTGGCTGAGCTAGGGCATCATATAGATTTTCCCATTAGTCAAGGATGAGGACTTTGTCTCTTTTCTAACACTAAAGTAACAATATCTTAGCAGAGTGGCAGTACTTACAGGTAAAACATTGTTAACATACCAATTTGATCCAGACACCCTGTGACTGCCAGAGGCCCCAGAGCTACTGGGGAGCTTCGAAATTCTTCGTAAACTCCCCAGTCCCATGTCCATTATGTATGCTTTACTAACAAAAAGGAACTCCATTGGTCTGGAGTTCTTTGTAAAAGCATGGATAGGGGATATATCACAGCACTTAAAAGACCACCACTGGCAGCGCATATTATGGAATCTTAAAAATGCTTCCCTGGATTTCAGGCCATGCCTGATACAGCAAAAGATTCTATTCAGAATGTTTTGGGAGTCACAGAAGTTGTGCTTTGTCCTTCGATGTTCGTTGGTGCTGTAATAAAGAAGGAGGAACCCTGATGCATATGCTATGGTACTGTCCATCAGTCAGACAGCTATGGAAAAAGGTATGCACATGAGTGAGAATAGGGCTTGGCCTCAGCAATCAAACCTGAGCTGAAAATTATTTCCTAGGTTATGTACCTGGATTTAACTCCACCACAAAGATTTTGGTTCTTGAGGCCACAGTGATTACCAAGTACATGAATTTTAAAAAATGGAGGAGTAGGGCTATGCCCAGAATAGAGCAGTGGTATTCAGACCTGTCTGAGTTAGCAGCAAAAGAAAGAATAGGTTTTCGATGTAGAGAGCAGTTATATGAATTTGAAGAAATTTGGACCCCATTTATTGATACATTTGAATAAAGAATGTTGAGATAGCTCAAATAATTCCAGACTTCCATTCCATCTGACCTCTCTACTTTTCCCCTCTCAATGCCTGCCACTTTCCCCATACCCAGCTTCCCTTTTTCCTATTTGTGTTTTTTTTTTTATTATTATTATTGTTACCCCCAGCCTAACATGTTATGCTTGTGTAATATTGTCTGATTGTGTATTGTTTGGTCTTGTAGCTTTGACAAGTTGCAAAGTTGAATAATTGTTAAATTGTATTGAATAGCTTGTGAAATGTGCAATATTTGTTAACATAAAAGCTGTAAGTCATTTTACCTTTTTGTATTTTTATTGTTTTTTTTTATGAAGATTAATTAAAAAATTAATCTTAAGGGAGAAAACTGAGATTATGCAAGACACTAACTGGGTCCCCAAAATTAGGGATATACGAAGTTCAAGTGCTTCATATAACCCAGACCTGTGCAATTTACGCTCCGTGGGTCTGATCCGGTGGGATTTAGATGAGGCCCCATATCCCTATGCTGCAAATACAGATAAATATTTTTTTTTTAATTGCACAAGACATAAACATATTATCCATTAACCTCAATGTTACTCTTTTCGGTATTGTATTATCATTTAGACTGTAATGTCTGTGTTTATATTTGATCATTTATTTCTATAATCTAGAACTGGGTTCATTTTTACATCCTCATTTTCATATCTGTAGATTTTGCCAGATTTGAAACTATACTTTTTTCAATCCAAATCTTCCTTCTCTATATTTTAAAAAGTTTCATTTAAACACACTTGTTGTATACAGTCCATTCTCAATGAACAATTGGAAGAGGCCCATTACTCTTTTATCTTTTAATTTGTGTATGAAGACACATGTCAGAAAAAGCATCACTGCAAGTCCAAAAAAGTATTAGAATGTTTTAAGAGTTCCTGAAATTAGTAAATTGAAGATGTATATGCAATTATCAAATCACGTTCACTAAATTTATGAATTTATCTTTATTATTTATTATTAATTCAATCTAAGTTTACTTGTATTCAAAAGTTGCTTTATCAAATATTTTGTTTTTATAAATAGTATTGTACATATGAATATATGTCATTCCCTTGCCTTTATTTGTTTTTCAGCTTGCATGGGAATATGGTGTACCTTTTTTTGAAACCAGTGCTACAGATAACATAAATATTGAAGATGCCTTTTCAGTATTGGTCAAAGAAATAATGAACAAGGTAGGTTCCTTTTTTGGGGGAGGAGGCAATGCAATAAAACTTTTTTGGGACAAATCCTGTGGACAGAGGAAGTGCTGCAGAAGACCTTTAACACAGCAGAACCAGTTTGGTGAGCCTCTCTACAGGGGAATATATGTCACCTGTGTACCATGGAGCTGTGCTCTGTGGATGTGCCTTGTACTCTAGCACACGGAAGTTTTGGGCGTAGGGAAGTCATGGGTTGGGAAAGAGGTGGGGCTGGCGGATGTGCAGCTTTGCGGCTTCACCAGCCATAGGCACTTCTCCATAGGGGAAGGTACAGCAGCCATAGAGTTCCACTGCCCCTCCGTGACTTGGGCCAGGGGGTATAGAAGCTGTGGAAGGAGTTGGCCCTTTATGTTCAATTAGCAAATGTCTGATCCACAATTTATAACACATATGTGCAAATGATTTACATTGGTATTGCTAAATAGAGAGGAAAATGAACTCCTTTTTTGAAATTGCTAGGACTTAAAGGATTTCTGAGTTAATTAGCAGTGGATTGCTGCTGTCAGAATCAGTCTCTCAGCCTGAAGGGTGTGGCAGTGTAAAGGTACTTACTACTGCATGATGGAGTCTCCCTAGAGCAATAATTACAATACACTGAATTATTAATTAGCTAAGACAATATTTTCCATCAAGAGATTTATTTTTAGATAGCAGAATATTGCTTTAGATATTAATGGATATTCCTCTTAAATGTATTGTTATTGTCATCCATCACCAACATTAGTTATACAAAACTAGTCTTCAGTTCAGAATAGTCTTGAAATCATAATGAAGATAAATGAACAAAATTACCGACAAAGTTGAAAGTTCCAGAGTTTTGATTAAATGGCCATACAGGGTGTGGTCTGTTAATTCAGGTGGACTATATGGGTTCAAAGATTCAAAGGTGTTAACATAACCCAGTCAGTGTCCAACATTACACAGTTTCAGAAAGGTTTGAGGATTGGTATACAGAGACTTCAGCCTGCTTAGTACTGTGGTGTAAACAGCATTAAAAATCCTTTCAACCATTTATTAAAAATACAGAAAAAAAGAAGGAAAAACTGTTAAAGTATTTGAAATGTAAAGTAGTAAATAAGGCTTTCATTTTAACAACATCCCTTGTTCCCTTTCCCTTTAGCTGGAAAGAATTGTTGGACAGTCTCTTGTGTGATATTAAAGATGGTAATAATTATCCTTTGGGGAAAAGAAAAGAAGTTAGTAGAGTTGGTGCTGCTGATGTTAAAGTCTCATTTCTAGAAAACAAAACAAGACTCACACAAAAAGAGAGAGAAGAGAACAGCAAATATAAAAAAATGACACTTCTGCCTCTGGTATTAACTTTTACTTGCAACCTCGCTGCTGGAAACACATAGTGTGCCAGAATATGCAGTCTTGGCTGGCTAAGCCAGGCTCTTATCAAACAGAAGGCAAAAGGAGAGAACTTGGAAAGAAGAAAAATCAGGTGGGGAAGGAAAGGGACACATGTTGTGGGGGTGGGGGAAGAGAGAGAGAGAGAGAATCTCACATCCCAGGTGGTGCGTGGGATTCAGCTGCAGCTGGTAGAGATGGAAATATCATCTGGGTCCCCTTCTCTGGCCCAGGCTGGACAGAATAGTTGTTGGGATCAAGATGACGAAGGCCCGGGGTCCCAGGAGATGGTGGGGGTGGCAGCCATGATAGTGAAGTTTGCTGCAGTAGCCAGAGTTCCTCCCGAAGTGTGGTTTTTTGTTTTGTTTTTTTTAAAAGGATCCTGAAAGGGAGTGATAGATGGAATAGCCCATCTGTTCATTATTTTGTCTACCAATTAGGTCTAATTTCTGAAACACCAATTTTAGTTCATTTATTTCCATTCTCTCCTTTTGTTTACCAGTCACAATCTTAATAGAGTCCTTGAATCATCAGTAGGACTTTTTGTTTGTACTAATTCAGTCTTTCTGTCTCATTTTTGTACCTTTTTCAGTCAGCATTTGTTGTTGTAGATTATTTTGACATTCCATGAACTTTCACTCACTTTTTACAGTTGCGCTCAGAAGTAGGGTACATTCATAGACCTAATTATCACAATAGTGGTGAAAGTAATCAGCTCTGAGTCAGACTGCTTCTAAATCAAGGACAAATACTATCAAATAAAAGTACTAAGCGTGGTTATTTCTCAGAAAAAAATATTTAGGTGGATTGATTTCCATTATTATGAAAATCCAGCTCAATAACCTTATTACTGTTTTAAAAAAAAAATCACATCAGAAGCACTAACAGTAGGCCTCTTAAGATTTGGCAGTGTGTCTCAAATAGGTTTACTTTAATTTCTTTTGTAACCAAGGAATTTACTGCATGTACTTGAAACACAAAAGGATATTGTTGTTTTAATGTAATAAGCATGTTTGCTGTTGCTGAGACATCTGAAGTTCAAATTACAGGTAAGCAATAACAGTTATGAAGATTCACTAGGAAAATTTATATATCAATACTAAACATATTGAGGATTAAGGGGAACAGTTTTTTATTTCTAGAAACCTTTATTCAAATGCATCTTTGGTTATAAGTGAAATGATTTTGATAGTCTCAGATTAATCCAGAGTTCTTGTCTGTGCTGCAAAAGAAACACATAAATTAGCTAAACTAGTCATTAGCTTTAAAAGAAGCACAAATCCAGCATGGAAAAGGGTAGGGAAACTGAGGACAATATGCGGAGTTGTTTGAAGAAGATGGCTCATCTCCTGTTCACAGTTAACCTATCATCATGCTACTTTACTTTCATTAGCACTTAAATATATTCCAGCATTATTAGTTTTGTGTGTAATTAAATCAAACTGTGATGATAATTTCAAGCCCATGAGACAAAAAGATTTAGATATTGATTCAGTGGACCAATGCCTTTTTAATTTACATTACAAAGGAATGATACTGTCTAGTCTCCTGTATGTTCTCCAGCATGAGGTGTGCAGCTTTTGTATTTTGTTTCAACTGGGCAGCATACAGAAAAAGCCTTGTATGTTTTCTTTGTTGGCAAGGGGAGAATCCTTTAGGCTTTGCTCAAGCACCCAAAGGACTTGAAGAGTGTGAAAGCATGATCATATTATGTGAAAGTGCTATAGTATCACTGACAGAAAGGGAATGAAACACAAAGATCCTGTTTGAGTAGCCAGTATCTTTTATAAATAAAGAATAATAAGGTTTGTTAGAATTACAGTGTCTCCGGAATGATCTTTAAAGTAAGCAGGAAAAACTGCAAAATAATTAATAACTATAAATACAACTAGCTGCAAAGACAAATATGAGCTTAATATATATTTCTACGTAATGTGTATTCTGTAGGACCTGAATGTCATTACACGTTGCAGCCAAGTCTCTCAACTATAAAGTTACATGCATTTAATGTTGTTCTAAGTGTGACTTTAATATATTCACTTATCTTAGTAGATGCTTATTTTCTATACTGTAGACATGCTGACAGAGGTCTTAGCATGTTGAGAAAGCTGTATGTCAAACAACATCCATTTGACTAGAGGTGTGTAAACTTACAAATTTCCACTTAGTGTGTGCTTATGCAAAATGTTTTCATGAGAATTTGCCAGTGGTAAAATTTCATCTTTTCTGGAGATGCTTGAAGTCTCTGATGGGTTAACGGGTGCTTCTGTAACATTATTTTGGTCAGTGGTTTACCGTCTTCCAGTTAAATTTGTTTTGTTGATTTCAAATAAGGTTCTTCCTCATCTGAATTTTATTTAGTTTTCCCATTGGACTGGTAAGGCAGAGTTTATCATAAAAACAAAAATCTGCCTTGTGGTTTCACCAAAATTTTCATGTACAGCAAAATAATTGGCTTGTTCACAAAACAGTGAAATCGGGATGTATTGCTTGAATTTTAACCTCCCTAAATCTATGATGGAGAAGTGAATGTAGTCAGCAATGTGACCAGCAACTGTGAAAAATGATGCCATGCTGTAATCCTTGCATCAGGGACAGTGGTACATCTATTTTACAATAATAAAACATTTATTTATCCATCATAAAATAAGGGAAAGCCCCACACAATCTTCTGGTCCAAAATCGTTCCTCAAGGCACAGGTCTCTGACTTCCCTTCCCTTGGCTAGTTTGCCTCTCTGTCATTGATCTTCCTATCCCAGGATCCACACAGGAGGAGGGGATGAGGACTAGATGCACCTATGCTGAATATAGATAGGCCAGGGAAAGCATATTATCTCACACTAATCCCACAGAGGAAATCCCCTTTAAGGAGTTCCCTGTGGAAGCCATTAGGGCCAGGTTGCCAGGAAGAAGCTGAGTTCTTTTAAGAGCTGATGTAAAAAGCTGCAGAGAGAAATATATTTGCAGGTTCACAGCAACAACTTTTATTGGTCCTACAAAACCCAGGAATTTTGCTAAATATTCTTGAGCACCATCTACTGGCACTTTATTAACTAAATATATATTCTCTTCCTGCAGCCGGAATGCTGGTGACCTATAATTTGTGCACAGACTCACCACTTCCTGGAACTTTGTAAAATTAGAGCAATTTGTGGTTTGAAGGGCTCTAAGGTTGGAGGAAACACTGAATGGTATGAGCACTGGCCTGCTAAACCCAGGGTTGTGAGTTCAATCCTTGAGGGGGCCATTTGGGATCTCGGGCAAAAATTGGGGATTGGTCCTGCTTTGAGCAGGGGGTTGGACTAGATGACCTCCTGAGGTCCCTTCCAACCTGGTATTCTATGATTCTATGATTCTATGAAATGTGTTAAAACACATTGTACATTTGTTTTTCAAAATTATTCTCACTACACCTGCTAGTATAAAAGAGTGGGCCTCATACTTTAAACCATGGCAGCAAGTTACCCAATGTCAGACTCAGCTACATCTTCATTTTGTGTTGTATTTTTATAGTGGGCTTGAAGCATATTTTTTGTGCTCGGTGGGATCAGATAGTTCAAACAACATTATATAGACTTTTAAGTTGTGTGCAAGTTGGGAAAATCATTTTACAGTAGGGACTCAATCTTGCAGCTCTCACATGAATTGTCTCATTAAGATTAACTGATCACCTGAACTTATTACAACTACCGTGAGTAACAGAGGCAGGCCATAATTTTGAGAATGATAATACATGTTTTTTGTTCAATCCAAACAGCTATTAAGTGACTTTATATTATTGAAAAAAATCTTTAGTATGAATTAAGCCCATATACAAATGTCAGAAACATTATCAGGTATTCTGAAAGTTTGCAGAGGCATGTTTACAAATAACAGTATTTAATTTATTCAGAATTCTTCAGATTTGCCTAAACCTGCTCATTAGAAGATGACAGCTGTTTAATAACATTGCTCATGGTTACCAAATGACCCATCCTGCAATCAAGAGTCACACTTCAAACAAAAACAGAAAAAAATACAGTTAGCATTTAGATTTATGCATACTGTCATATGTTGCTCAGTTTAATGGCTGAAGATCAGTCCTCCTCCCAAATCGCTTTTGACAAGAATATTATAGTCTCTATTATTATAGAATATTAAGTCTGGTCTTTGTGAATTCTTGGTTATGACATCATATTAACTAGAGGGAGGAGGAAAGAAACTATGCTTAAACTCCCCTTTCCCCCAAATCAGCAAAATAAATACCAGGAGCAATTGCCATTCTCTGAACAATACAACAAAACCATAGAAAACAATGTTCTTCACTCCCCCAAAAAAACTGATAGTAGATATACAGAGTGTGCTCACAGCTGCAAATGTGGTCATTGGGAGCTCTGCTATGAACATACATGAAGTGCTATTAAAAATGCCATGTACTCTGAAAAATCAGACCCTGGGCGTCTCAAATTATCAGACTCAGTTGATAATTTGATCATTTTTGCTTTAATCATGTACATCAGTTCCCCATGTGTAAAATGGGGATAATAATATCTCCTCAGAGGGGTATTGTGAGGGTTAATGAATTTATGTTTGTAAAGATCTCAGGTACTACAATGACAGCGTCTAGAAAAGCCCATGAAGAAATTAATGATTCTGCCTCCAGTACGGGATTTGGATGGTATGAAGTATCTAATTTATGGGTCCACATATTAAATGTAAAAAGAAAAGTCAACTGGCACTCATTCAGTGAGCGCTGCCCTGTACACTGAATGTGACCGAAGGTCTTGTGGGAAAAATAGTATGTGATCCTAGAAATCTGTTGGCCGCGGAAAAATGCGGAAGTCCTGTTTTTACAGAGAATCCTTTGTTTTTTCATTTTGTGAAAAAAGAAACAATAGTAGAACCCTGTTTATCCAAGCCCCCATTAGCTGGGTCTCCATATTAACCGAACCAGGGCTGACAGCCCGAACTCCACCGCCCAAGATAAAAGTATTTGGCATACGTAAGAAATACAAATTGCAGTTCTATTAATTATATTTTATTATTATAATGATTGATGGCACTGGTAGGCTTCAAACTTGCTTAAAAATTGTAGATATATCAATAAAACGTGTTCAACTAATACCTATATAGTGGCTAGGGAAAGTAAAATTCAGTGTTTCATTTTAAATGTGGAAAAACAGATTTTTATGTTTTTTATCAGAGAATTTGGGGCTTTTTATCATGGAAAACTAGGATCCCTGGTGATCAGGTAGCTAAAGACTATCATAATGCATACATACAAGGGAGCTGCATTAAGGTTGCAAAAACAACCTTCATTCTGGTATTTCGTAATTATTGAGTGCTTGACTTTGCAATCTTAACATTCTTTTAATGTTGGGGTTTTTTATGTAATTTCCTATGTTTTTAAAAAAACTTAAAAATTGAAAAAACTAAAATTCCATCATGTGGATCCATATTGATCCTGCATATGGGTCTTCTGCAGGGTTGGGATGCTTACATATGGCACAGTCCTACCAGTTATCTTTTGAGTTAACTGAATAACTAGTAGCAGTACAAGGCAGTTATCTTCTATGAGGACCTGCCCTAGAAAGAGATGAAGACACACGTTGCTTGAGGTTTTACAGCTGTTAACTGTGAATAGAATGTCGAGACTCAGAAATAATGGATTCAGTTCCAGGTTCTGTAGGGGAGTGTTTTCTAGTGGTTATAAACATTTGTTCCTCCAGCCTTTCCCTGTCCACTTCTACTCCTAACCCATTCCCCTGCTGCCATATTCAGTTCTTGCTGATTCCAACTCCTGTCCCACCCTGCTGAACCATTTTAGCTGAAACTTTAAAAAACCCAAAACCATAAGGCAAATATCCAACATTTAATTTCTTATGCCCTTTGAAATCTAAGTTCATACTCCATATAGTCCTAGTCATGCTTATAATTGTTCTGCATTGTGCAGGACATTTTTTTCAGTCGTTTTCTGGCCCAGGTCCATGCTTTGAATTCCATGACGCCTATTCCCTCAAAGAGGTAAAGAGATATCCCTTTCAACAGCTGGCCTCTGTAGTGAGAAATATGTACGTATTGCTGCTGGCAGTGGTTCTCAACCAGGGGTATGTAGCTGTCTTCCAGGGGGGTACATCAACTCATCTAAATATTTGCCTAGTTTTACAGCAGTCTACATAAAAAGCACTAGCAAAGTCAGTACAAACTAAAATTTCATACAGACAATGACTTGTTTATACTGTTCTATATACTACACACTGAAATGTAAAAACAATATTTATATTCCAATTGATTTATTTTATAATTTTGTGGTAAAAATGAGAAAGTAAGCAATTTTTCAGTAATAGTGTGCTGTGACACTTTTTTTTTTTATTTTTTATGTCTGATTTTGTAAGCAAGTAGTTTTTAAGTGAGGTGAAACTTGGGGTACACAAGACAAATCAGACTCCTGAAAGGGGTACAGTAGACTGGAAAGGTTGAGAGCTACTGGATTCAGAGAGAAAGGTGGTGACTCCTCTTGGCTGCATGCATGTCTCTGCGTATCATTGCTTTCTTGGTAAACATGCCAAGCAGAAAAGGAAAGAATAGTAAGTAGAGAAATTGGAAGCATTTTTTTCTTTATCTGCAAAATGTGCCATGTTTTTATCCCCTCATTCTGGGGTTCATAGTCCCACCTCTCAGAGACTTAAGATGTTTGCTGCAAGTACACTGCATAACTGGTTTTGATTGTTTTTCAATATATCTCATCACTTACAGGAAAGGCCTTAGGCCAAAACCTTGTGCTGGGATTACTGTCTTCTCTTAATATCAGTAAATAAATGTTTTACTATTATAGAATGCTATCTTGATGGTTTTACTTCTATTAAGACTGAGTTAATTAAATGCTGGGATTTGCTTGGATTAAAAAAAATTGGCTAGCAAAACTACTGAACTATAATGTATATGCCAAGATAAGTTAAATTCCTTCATAACAATGAAGGGTCTGATTCTTTTTTTTTTCCAGATGCTGAACACCTGCAACTCCCATTGACTTCAACTGGATTTGTTGGTGCTCAGCTCATCTGCAAACCAGGCCCTAAACAAGTCCATTTCGTTTACTGAAATATGAGTTTAGGGGCTTTGATATCCTGGGCTCAGGTTACCACAGCTGGAACAGAAAGGAGCAATTGTTATCCCTGGCTCCAGAAAGGCCCTTGTTTCTCCAAGAGAGTTATCATTGCGGAAGGGCGGGCATGTTTCACACTACTTGTCTCTTGTGGGGTTCTGCGAGTTTAAGTTATCATTTGGATTCCTTAGCAGCTCAGAGGATGCACTGAATTGGCACATCCCTGGCTACCTCAGACACGTCCCTGCCTGAAACTGCACAGCCCCCCTCCATCCCAGCAGGAGTTGTCTGCCTTTTGCTGCTGGAACCCTTCCTTTGAGCTGACTTTCCACCAATTAGAGGGATGAGATGAAACAAATCCAATTTCTCAGAGCTGAGGGAGTTTATAATACTTCCTATCACTGTACAGTAAATTAGAAGAAATAGGCAAAATAGGTCAATTCATCAGTACCGCTGTACAGTATCTCTGAAGACTGGGGTTTTAGAGCATAAAATCCATTTCTACTTTAGATTAAACATGAAAATGAGTACAGATATTTGTGCACATCACAAAACTACCATACCATTTGTCATAGCAAAATATGATGCTTATTTAAAGCCCTAGATGACACTAGGGCTAAATTGCTCATGAGGGAAAGCCTTATGCAAGTAGTCAGTAGCACTGCCTACATGAGTATTTACCACTCCAGTGAGTAGAGATTTACAGGATCAGCTCATGACTTGTAATGTCTTCTCAGAAGACCATACACGCCCACCCCTAGGATCTTTCAGGACTCAGAAAAGAGGCTAGAGCCAAGTATAGTATGAGCGTGTCCTATCAGCCTGTCACTTCCATAGGCTCTAGATTCATCCAGTTTATTAGAAAACTTCCTAAAATGTTGAGCCTTTCATTTGACTCTTCAGAGCTAGAAATATATTCAGTGACACACTAAAATGTTTTATAAAGCTAAAATATATGATGGGCTGCCTTATGAGCCCACTCATGGAGAAGAATATTCAAGCGTTTATCTTAATATAGTCCAGCTGCGTTCGTCTTAATGCCATGTTCATTTTAATTTGTTTTGCAGAATTCCTACGTATTGTGTGACTTAGATGTGGTGGATCTAAATGAAAGTAAGAAAAAGAGAACTTGCTGCCAATTGTGAAATGTCACCTGCACTTCTGTCTGTCTTCAGGAAATGTTAACTATTTCATAGGAATACACAAAAGTGTTAAAATGAATTTGATTACTTAGGCAATTTCTGTATGTTACAGAAATCTTGTGCTGTAAATATTGACTTTACAATGTATACAGTACTGTATATACATGAATGTTCTAGTTTTTAAAGTGAAGTTAAATCAATTATTTGTATTTGGGACCTTTTATGACCAGCACAGTGGGACTATTCATATATGCCAGTGTTTGCAGGAATGGGACCTAAATGTACAATCCTTCTCTTGTTGAAGTTAATATCTGCCTTAATTTTTTTTCTTTGTCAGTCTCTTTACATAGTAAACCCTACAACAAGGGCCTCTCACTCATGCAACCCTCTGATCTAAATGACCAATTTAAAATATTCCCAAGGTTTCAAATACAGTCTGAATTACGTTTAAATTAGAAGCGGCAAAGAGTCCTATGGCACCTTATAGACTAACAGATTTATTGGATCATAAGCTTTCATGGGTGAATACCCACTTCGTTGGAAGCGTGTAGTAGAAATTTCCAGAGGCAGGTATAAATATGCAAGCAAGAATCAGGCTAGGGATAACAAGGTTAGTTCAATCAGGGAGGATGAGGTCCTCTTCTAGCACTTGAGGTGTGAACACCAAGGGAGGAGAAACTGCTTTTGCAGTTGGCTAGACATTCACAGTCTTTGTTTAATCCTGAGCTGATGGTGTCAAATTTGCAAATGAACTGAAGCTCTGAGCTGTAGCTCACGAAAGCTTATGCTCTAATAAATTTGTTAGTCTCTAAGGTGCCACAAGTACTCTTTTTCTTTTTACGGATACAGACCAACACGGCTGCTACTCTGAAACCTGAAGCTCAGCAGTTTCTCTTTGAAGTCTGGTCCCGAAGTTTTTTTGCTGCAGGATGGCTACCTTTAACTCTGCTATTGTGTGTCCAGGGAGGTTGAAGTGTTCTCCTACAGGTTTTTGTATATTGCCATTCCTAAGATCTGAGACATCATCAATTAAATTAGAGACCATAACTGAAATTCTGCCGGTCCCTTGGGTGGTCACTTAACATACTTTTCTGGATAGTTTGTTTTTGTTCTTTGGGGGTTTTTTGCTGGGGGAGGGGGAGGGAAAGGGGTTGGTTGTTTGGGGTTTTTTTTTTCCAGTTTAAAGAGTTTGTATTGTTTTGTAATACCAGTGCAAAATGAGGTGTAACTGAGGACCAAAAGAGAAAAGAAAAACTTACCTAGTGTACATACATTACACAAACTTTAGAATGAAGAAAAAAACAGAAGTTGATAAATGCATGTCTTTACGCTAATGTAATGTTACAGACTGTGTATAGAACACCAAATAATCAATTATTATTATTTACTGGACTCCTGATGCTAAGAAAAAGACTTCATCCTGTTACACATGGATGTATGCATCCTCTTAATTTATATATCTGAACAATGGAATATTTCCAGTGGTCAATAGATAGTTAAGAAGTTTTATAGTTTTGTAAAATAGAATATTTTCAATATGTTTAAGTTTTCTAATGTTCTTATTAATTTGTTCCTTTATACTACGTGATCCGAGTATTAATAAAGGTATATTGAGTGTTAATGAAGTTTTTGTGGCCTTTTAATCTATACACTATCACTTTCTCCCAGTATAAATACATTGAGAATCTGATTCGTGCTCTCACTTGAACCCATTTTGTGCTGGTATAATAACACTGACTTCAGTGGAGTAGGTCCTGATGTATACAAGTATAATAAGTAAGAACAGAATCAGATCCTGAGTCTTTATTTTAATTAAGAACAGCCACATCACACTTCACACACACAAATCAAATAATGAATAGTAAGCTGAGGGGGTGCTGTTGATATATTCCTATTTGGTTAATTATAATGATTTTTGGCATGGGAGTTATGTATCCCCAGTTGATTATTAATTGAATTGGTTATACCATGTCTTATGAATGAATGAATATTTTACCAAATTCTGCTGTCAGTTACACCAGTAAAAATCCAGAGTAATTCAGTTGATTGTTGTTCTGGGTGATCACTGGTCTAAGTGAGAACAGAATTTGGACAAGTAACCGTAAACAAAGAAATGGGGCCAAATGCTGCTCTGGTTACACCAATGAGCAGTGAATCTGCACAGGTGTAACTGAGGGCCAAATTTGGTCCATACCAAACACAGGTATGGACCACATTATTCCAGATCATTTTATCCCCTGTTAAAAGAGGGTGACAGCCACTGTCCACATTAGGGGGAGACAATTCTTTCCTCAGTTGCCCAGTACACAGTAGGAATCTTCCCAGTGCATCATCCCTTTTAGATAGTGCAGTCTCCTCCACCTGGGATACTGGCCAGCTCAACACTATGGTATGGAAGGGGTGTGAATTCTTCCTGCTCCTTTGAGGTGATTTTTTTCACCTGCTGGTGATAGGACAGGGCCATCCCTTCTCTTAGGTAAGTTCTGTTGCAGCCCTAATAAAGCTCCCCCTGCTGGACACTCATTGCTCTATTTGGGTCCCACCGTGATGGACACTTGTGTTTTTATGCTTTGCTTGATCTGAGAAGGATGCAACATGTTTTCTTTGGCCTCTCTGTTACCCCTTCATAGAAAAGGGACTTTGAGGTCATGCTGTCCTAGAAGCCCACGACCAGTGCTCTTCCCCCAAGACACCCCAGTAGCGTAAGCATATTTGTTCCCAGAGTTCCAACCTGTGAATACTTTGGTTTACAGTTTACCTCTCCAGGCACATGATAGTTGAAGCACACAACACACAAACTTTGAAAAGGTTTCTAACACAATAGGCCTTTACTTTAGATAGCACAAGAGAAAAGTGGCTTGTCTGGACAAAACAATAAAACAGATGTATGCAGTTTTCTACCACAGTTGAACATTCTGTGGGATTTGGAGAGAGTTCTCTGGGGTGTCCAAGATCACCCTTCCTGTACATGGCTTCTCCTTGAATCATGGAGTCAGTCTCTCTCACTTGCTATATTATCTCTTCCCACCCCCTCTAGCCAGCCGAGCTTCCTTTGAAAGGAAAAGTACCCCTCTGCTACAAAACTGGACCCCTATGTTCCTCTCTTGTTTCAAACCTCATTAGTCTTTTTAAAGTCCTGCTCTGTCCCTTTTTTCTCCTGCTTGGGGATTTTCCATTCTCCACTCCCCTCCCAGATAAACTTGGCTGGACAGGTTTTCCAGCTCAGACACCCTCTTTAGCATATCTGGTGTTCAGCCAAAGTCCGGTTGTTAAGGTTAATGACTTCTTTTGTTCTATGGCTTCTTCTTAATAGGATGGGTGATATGTGTTAGGGACCCTGTCAGCCCATAGTTTCCTCGCTACAGATTGAAGCATTCAATGATACAGAAATTTCAAATTCTGGTTAATTTTATGAAAGTTGTACCTAAACTGATTCCCCTGATCATCACAGATACTGTGATTGTTTCAGGACCATGTACAAAGAAATAAGGCACCAAAGGAAGAAGGCCCCCATACCCAAGTCTTCCAACTCCTGTACACCCATCCAAAGACCAGGGACAATTCAACCCTGTTCATGGGGCACACTTTATTCTTAGCACTGTTATTAGATAGGACAAGACAAAAAGGAAGACGTGGTCCCGCTGGGAGAAGTTTGTCATCTAAATAGAAATCATAGAACTGGCACAAGAAGTACTGAATTACTCAAAGGATGATATTTTGGAATATATATTTGCTTTTCAATTGTTTTCTTTCAGAGGGGTGAGTGACAGTATCATTAATGCAAATTAGCAACTGGTGGGGTTTGTGGAAGAAATTAGTTTTAAGGAGGGCTTTGAATGGAGAAAGGGGTGTCAGACACTGTCTTAGAAAGGTTGTTCAAAGCATAAAGGACAACATGGAAGAAGGCAAGGTGTGCCCACATTATTTCCACAGATCCCTCTATGGCACTTGTTCTCAACTTTTATGGGCTCAGGACCCATTTGTAAAGTTTATTGTTGCAACCCAGTAAATAGTCTGGGGGCAGAGACCCTGGCGTGGTTTTGATTGCATCTTGCCTGGCACTCACTCCCTAGTAGTGGCTCCTACAGCTCCTGTGCTGTGGGGCTGACTGGGCTTGGCGCTCTGCTCCAGGAGTTGCAACCTCCAGGATTGCAGAGCCGCTCAGGTTTGGCCCCACCCTCCTGACTGGACCAAATTTGTGCAAGTAGAGTTGTGACCCGGCTCCTGGGATTGCAGTGCCACTCTCCCAAATTTGGCCTACCCAGACTCCCGTCATAAAGATGGCTGGACCAAACCTGAGTGGCATTGGGACCCCAGAAGTTGCAGTGCCTGGAGCAGGAAGGCGAGCCCAACCAGCCCCATGGGACAGGAGCCACAGAAGCTGCCATGCAACCCTTTGAAAGATTCTGGCAACTCGATTTTGGGTCGAGTTTGGGTCGACCCTCGATTTTGGGTCGATTTTGGGATTAGGTTGAGAAACCCTGCTCTATGGCACCTTATATGAGCAGAGGTTACAACGCTGAGGCAGAGCCAGGCTATTATTCAGATGAATTTTACCAAGAAGATAAGAAACGTATTCTCTTTCAAAGCACCAGAACCACCAGATATCACATAGTCCCAGAACTTTAATTCCAGGGCCATTCTAGTTTTCTTTTGTGTATGGCTCCGTGGACAAGATTTAGCCACAAAAGAATCAAGCACTTCATTAAAATCCCCAGCAATTACAATAGGGATATGGGGTTCTCCATGTAATTTAGTAAAGCCTATGTTTACTTTCAGGATTCAAAATCTGCCCTGATTATCTAAAATTGACTCAGAGACTGTTACTGCCAGTACTTTATAGAAGAGTATGGCTACCCCTCTAGATGTGAATGACAAGCAGGAAGACACTACTTCTTTTACCCAGTCATGTTCTACCATAACAGCCCTATCTGTGGTCAAGTGTGTCTCCAGCAAAAGCACTACGTCTGCCTTTGCTCTCTCTAATAATGAGTACCCTTGTTTTCTTTTAATTGGCGTGTTGAGTCTCTTTACATGCCAGGAAATAAAATTGAAATTCAGGACCAACATTTTTCTCATCTGTGACCTTCCAAATGAGGATGATGGAATATTTGTGTCATTTGCTCTATTGCATCGCACCTGCTCCCCTCTCAGACTCCCGTGAGACAGATTTTGGATTACCTTGCTAGATGCTCGCCACTTGTCAGATTGCTACCAAATAGTGTAGGTGCAGGAGACTTGGGGGAAGGCATCAACATTAGATGCAGCCACCTAGCGAGGCTTGCTGTAAATCAGTCATGTAATTTTTCTGCGTATGAAGATCAGGAGAGAGGAAAGGGGAAGAAAGATGGATGGAGCAAGATAATGGGAAGGGTGACACAAGGGAACCAAATAGAATATAACAAAAAGGAAAAGAACAAAATAATTTACAGGAACGTATGAACATTTGTGTACTTGGCAATGCACGTTGAAAGAACATCTCTAACTATACATAGCTAAACCCTTTTCATACTCTGCGGGGACAGAGTAGCCTGTCACTACTCTCTGGGGTCCAAAAATTGTTATAAATAACAACCCCACATGGGAAATATCCCCAACAAAGGGGGTGGGTGGGGAAGATTTGAAGTCCATAATGTAGCAAGTATCCCAAAGGTGGTTATAGCCATCTCTGAGATTGTGTAGGATGCATAGGCTCAGCAAGGTTTTGGATCAGGGACACTGTGTCTAATTACAAGCAGCAGGTCCTTGTAAATTCAGCTTTCCCTTGTGGTGGCAATTTTCTGCTGGCATTGCCATTCCCTATATTTCAAACCATTTTCAACCACTAAACTATTACCCCAAACCAGTGCCCCCAGACACATAGTTTGCCTGCTAAACACATTTGATGGTTACATTACAGTCTTGCAGCAATACAAGGAGATAATCTAGAATGATTGTGAGTAACTTCCCTTACTATAGTCTCTAGGTCCATGCTTCAGGTATCCACCAGCAATGGCACGGCACAGTCCAAATCAGAGGAGACCACCTTCTGTTCTCAGGGTTCTCAACAATGCGCAAATACCCCTGACTCACTCCAGCCAGGCTACCTTAAGAGAGGCTGACCTTCCCTGCATAGAGCTACCTGGTG